GCGGTCGAGAAAAAAGTGTGTGTTTGGAGGGGGTGGGGTCTTCATGCACTATTCCTAGAGTTATGGTTGACAGCGCAGTCTAAGGGCTATTAGGTTCAGGAAGGAGACAAGATTTACCCGATCTATCAAACGTTTCTGTAACAATTCAAAATGTGTAGATACTCGTAACGCGAGATAGAGTCTACTTCTAATAAAATTGGTACAGTTTTTTAAGAAGAATGAATGAATAATCAAACCATTTACAACCCGATCATCATCTACCCTCTCCCCCACCGTTTGCCTATCTCTCTCTCTCTCTCTCTCTCTCTCTCTCTCTCTCTCTCTCTCTCTCTCTCTCTCTCTCATTATTAATAGTTTTTTTGTTCTCAGAAAAGAGACTCAAGAAAATAAGAATTTCATACTTCCGTCATCAATGATCTTCTACAATAAATTTACTGAACATCAAATCTATTCCCAATCTATTGTCACTATTTTAAAATTCACAACTGAATCAATAACAGGTTTTTGCACATCTTGCTAATATACTGCTCTACTAGCTTTTAATTCATTCTCACATAAAAAAAACCCATCTCACCTGCAGTAATTGTACAGCAATGCGCCTTTCCTGCTGTGATTGTCTCATCAGGCGGTTCACCATCATTTCTTCTCTTCGTGCTTCCTAGACACAATTAATAGAAATCAACAAAGACATTTCATTTTGCATTAACTCTTTCAATACACAGGGGATTCTGCAATTTTACCCACCAAGGCGCGAAGGGTGTTATCATAAAACGGCTGTATAATTCAGTCAAATATTGATGGATTCGTTTGTGTGAGCACTGAAACCATTCGTAATAGTACAGAAAATCGCAATATGCGTGAATATAGATTCATATCTTGGGGTTGACGAAATCGGTACCCCAAAACGTCACTTAAGTGGCGATCCGGAATCAAAGAGTTAAACCACTTGTAAGTCAATTTTACTGATATTCAAAGATAATTCAGTTCTGAAATACTAAGAATTAATACAATATGTCACATGTGAGGCAGCGTGGTGAAATCAGGAGCTCGTCAAAATACAGAAATCAGAGATACAGGCATTTTCGGTTTCCGCCAGTATGGACATTTTTATTGATTTTTAATTTTTTGGCTCAACTTCTTTTTTGTCAATATAAAAACACATGTCTATGGGAATGTTACTGAAAACATTGATTAAAGGCACAAAATATGCCACTTTTCTGTTTTCAAGGACTCTTTAGCTATTGGAGTTACTAAACTTTGGCGGCCATTTTCTCGCTAATTTCACCACTGAAACCAAGTGACTTCACTTCCTTCAATCGCAAATATCTTGAGTTTCTTTACTAGATAAATGAATATTAATTCCATTGGAAGCAAGATAAATGAATCAGCTTTCAGATGATAACAATAACTCCACATGCCCAAAAATTGACGAGCGCCTGATTCCACCACATCGTAACACATATTCACAAAAATCAAGCCTAAAGTACAATATAAAACTGTTAATCTGAACGCATGTAGAACTGCAAGACCATCATAAATACTGTAAACTAAAGACTATCAGCAACAAGCTCAAGACCTTATGAATAGCTTCCCTGTATAGGTGTATGAGTCAAAATATCTTGTAAAAAGCAACTGCAAAAAATTTAAAAGTAACAAATTTACTGTCACTTGGTTTCCATAGTCTTGAATGTCATTTAGATATCATGATACGGACAAAGTGAGCCAGGCTATAATAGCACTACTGGCCCATCCCTCACTGCCACAAATATTCCAGGAAAAAGAACCACATGTAGAGTATAAAACAAATAAAATAAATTACACAGCATCGTACTTGAAAAAAACTAGCCCCACAATGATGAGAATGTACGTAACTGTAAAATACAGGAACCTCTGAAAAGAGGTTTTCTCTTCTCAAAAAGCACGCTTGAGCTTTCTGACACAGTTGGAACTCTCAAACCCAGGTTAGTCAAAAAACAGTAATACAGTGGAGTCCACTTTTAACGAGTCCTGAAACAACGAGAAGTCTGTAATAAAGACACTATGCTAAAACCCCGTTTTTTTCCCTTCTTTACCTTTGTAAAAAAAATACTGCTATAGCGCATTCGGACAAACACTGTAGTCGGTTATAGCGGAATATTGCTGCTGCTTTGCACAGCGCACAGGCCAGTTATACATATAAACCTCGCCAGTTAAGAAACTTGTCGGTGATCTAGCGAAACCTAGGACCTTACACCAACTCCTTGAACGAAACAAAGAATAGGAGAGCCCACGTTTGCCAACAATGAAGGCCGGAGAGAATGAGTGGGGAGGGTGTGGGAAGCACACACAAGCAGAACGCATCGTGTGATAGGCCAGCCTAGTCTAGATTATCTAGGCCTACCACTACGGTGACTACCCATGCCCTCACTTTTCCGAAACGAGGATGGAGAGGTCACAATGCTGTGATGGAGTGATGTGTAGTAACGTGCGCAAGCAGACGAAACACACCACGGGGTGCGGTGGGGTGGGGGACAACGCAGCAGGCGAGTTAGCCCAGAGCGCATTCTTTCTGATCGCCAATGCCGTGCTGTCAAAATGGCTAGCGCTTGAGAAAGAAACCCGATTCGATTTTTGATGAAGTAAGACTTAACTAGAGGTCATGTAGAACAATGTCATCATCCGGGGAGATAACAAAAAGAAATAAACAGAACACTTAACTCCTAGATTAGGCCTACTTTATTATTTCCATTGAATTTATTACTGGATTCCTTATAACGAGAATCCTGGTATAACGGACATTTCGCACCGGTCCCCTCCCTCTCCACTGTACTCATAAAGCAAGTGTCGGTGACACGAGTGTCGGTGACACGAGTGTCGGTGACACGGGGTTTAGATGGGAGGTCACTGGGGGTGTCCTTGAGCAAGACATGACAACCCTAGCTCAAAATACAGGTTATGTGTGTGTGTGTGTGTGTGTGTGTGTGTGTGTGTGTGTGTGTGTGTGTGTGTGTGTACGTGTGCGTGTGCGTGTGCGTGTGCGTGTGCGTGTGCGTGTGCGTGTGTGTGTGCGTGTGCGTGTGCGTGTGTGTGTGTGTTATGTAGGCATGCATGCACGTTTTAAAATCTAAAATAATTCATTCAGTAAAACTGTGCATACAGAAAAAAAGTGGGGGCTCCAGTGGCTAGCTAAGCGAATAGTAGGTTCAGCCTCAAAAGTAATATCAAGCAAGTGTCCGTGACACAGGGTTCTTACTGGAGCCTGTTGTTGAGCAAAACACGAAAACCGAAAACCGTAGGAGAAAAAAAACCCAGGGCACTGCACAATTGTGAAATTGTTCTGTATTGGTGTAATATTGTGTATTTATGTATATATTTATGTAGGCCTATGTATCTATGTATTTCTTATTATGTATTTATGTATGTATGTTTGCCATTGTAACCCAAATTTCCCCATACAGATCAATAAAATGTAATTTATTATAATACTGTTTTTGTTATTATTGTTATTATACCTTTAAATGATACAGAAAAGACTGGACATTCACCACAATATTTCCTTACTCTATCAAGAAGCAAAAAAGGTATCAACATCTTCAGAAATAAGTCCTTAACATTCCAACGTCCTGTCTAAGCGTATAGTCGTACATCATTTATTCTATTTCATTCTATGGTTAGAAACTGATTATTGCCGGATGTACTTTAAATGTTTTGACTGCTAATAATCCAGTTATTTCAGAAAGTTATCTATAAAATAACAAAAAAACGTGTTTTGAATTTTACTTGTGAAGGCAAGTTCCTTGACAAAAAAAGCTCACCTCTTGTGCCTCATGAGCCAGCATCTGATCACCAAGAACCTTCCTCCGCCTCTTTTCTCTCTCCTCTCGAGCTGCTGCATCTTCCTGCAGTCTCTTCCGGATTTTCCCAATGTACTCATCATTCGGAGCAGTGCGGAGCATATGGATTGGTTCACCACGGTCTTCATCTCTTGTCATAATGTACTGGATGTCAACCTCATCGCTGGAGCAATAAAAGGAATATTATCTAACGTATCATTTCAACAAATCTGAAGGAATGTACCTAAAACCATGAAATAATGAACATTTTAAGATTACAGTTTCTTACTTTTTGTGTACAAAATTCTTAAATGATTTCTTTTAATAATGTGAACAGCAGCAAAGAAATATAACATTCTTAAAATCAAAACTTTTCACTTCTTCTTGTGGAGCCTACACCTGCTAGAGCTCAGGGATCTTGATCTCACAGTGCAGTTGATTTTACCTACTAAACTCGCCCAAAAAAGTCAAGGAACAACTTGTGTTTTCAACAGTCAAATTTAAACTTCAATATCTCACAAACCCGTTAAGATCAGTCAACCAAACTTGGCACACGTACTGACGACTAGACATAGTTTGCCTGTAGAGCAAATTTGCCCGCACCAGCTTCACAATGACGGCGTAGGGCATTCTGAAACACGGCCGAAAACATGAAAAATGGGCTAAATTTCTCTACTTCAGCAACATTGGCATAGCTAAAACTAAGCTAGGCACGTGCTAAACAGATGTCTTAGCTGTGAATATTGCTCACTTACAACTCTTTATAAGCCAAGGTTTTTCAGCCATGTTTCATTACAACACGAAGGTCCAACGACACTCGCTGCCTGATGTCGACAGAGAAATGAGCCCTTGCCTGGCTCCAAGATGGCTCCACGTTCCCAGTCATTGCACATCGACTTGGGGTGTCCCCATTAGTCATATAGAGGCTGCAAGAATGATGGCGAGCGACTGGAAGGGTTCAGGACAGACCTCGACCAGGGCGCCATGTTTGACCATCGACAGCATTGACCAGTTCATCGTCAGACAGGCCGTGATGTCCCGAACCACAACTGCAAACGGCATCAGGGACCAACTACGGGTGACAGCCAATGTCCACGAGAGCGAGGGCACGGTAAGGAACTGTATCCGTAGAGCCAAGTTCGCTTCTGGTGCCCCTGCCAGGCGCCCAAGGCACACGCCGCCCCACAAAGCAGCTGGCCTGGCGTGGTCTGCTCGGCTTTCACAGTGGACACAATGTCAGTGGGACCAGGTAGTCTTCTCGGACGAATCCTGATTCAACCTGCCGCACCCAGACAGGCGAGCCCACATCTGGAGGCGCTGAGGAGAGCTGTTCCATCCTGAGTACATCCAGCAGGTGGCGCCCTGTGGTGGAGGGTTCGTTCTCGTGTGTGTATGTTTCTCAGCTCACCACAAGACCCCGTGTACCATATATACAAGGCAATTTGACCGCCGCAAGGTACAGGGAAGAAATCCTGCATCCCCTTGGTGTTCCTCTCCTGTGGCAGATTAGACCCCAGGCGGTACTGCATGATGACAACGCCGCGCCACATCGTGCACGCATCGTGGGGGACGTCCTGCAGCAGCGAGCTGTCACCCACATGGACTGAACAGCTTGTAGTCCGGATTTGAACCCAATAGAGAACATTTGGGATCATATTGACTGGTAGATAAGGGACAACCACCCTCCTGCACAAAACCTTCAACAACTCTTGGGCTGCCTCGTCCAGGAGGGGCTGAACCTACCGCAACAAGTTCTCCGAAGGCATGTCCTGTCCATGAGTCAATGCTGTGCCGAGTGTTTGATCAAACGGAGTGGCTACATCCACTACTGACAATGTTCATGAAGAACTATGGCTGTTCAGACTTTTGAAATCCGACCAGTGTGACTTAAACTCATGTTACATGAACTTCTCGTTTTTGTTGAAATCTGAAATTGTACATACTTAATCTAAATAGTCGAAAGCATCTTTCTGGAAAAAATGAATAAATTTGGTTAAACTGTTCTTCACTTATCTTTCTTGGAATTTTTGTTCCTTGACTTTTCTGTGTGAGTTTACTTGGCTATCTTATCTCAACGGAAAGTAGAATCATCCCTTGACTGATTTGAGTAGCTTCCCTTTTTGGATAGGAAATAATTTTTTTAATTTACCCAGAAGGCGACCCAGAGGGCCTATCTCTTCAGTCTTAGAAGCGTCAGGAATCTTTAATTTGCAAAACTTCCATACAGGACCTCAGAAATGTTCTTCCTTATTAGAGAAGATTGATTGAATCTACTCATACCTACCTTAAGAACAGGGTGGGTGTAGTAAACGTTAGAGAAAAAATATGATGCTGGAGGGATTAAACTTTGGGCCTCTGAGTTGATAGGAGAGAATACCATACCTGTTGAGCCACTGAACCCCATCCTAAACTTTTCTTTCACTGTTCTAGATTTCAAAATTAAATCCAGTAACATGTACACTGAGTGTTCATCCTGCACTCGGCAAGCCACACTAAGCATTCTGAGGGAAAGAGGACTACAGAGAGGAAAGGGTCAAAGCAGCAATTTCTAGGACAGAGTCTTGGAATGACCAGCCAACTTTTTAAAGAGACCAATAGCATCTCAAAAGTGTTATGCTCTAACCATACAAAAGGGTTTCTTGTACATTTTCAACAGGCTAAAGAAAAAACCTTCCAGTTTAAATGATGACAGCAGATTCAAAAGTTAGCTAGAAGTACTGTTCTACCATTTATACAACACGTTGACTCTTAACTTTTATTGAAGGTCAGCAGAATGACCCCCACTATGGTTTTAGAACAAAACAAGATTTTATCTTAGATGTCTTTCACTTACACAATTACTGCATAACACCACCAATAAACACTTAGATGGAAAAGTGATAACAGCCATGCTGTGCCTGTAACAAAGCAGAATCTGTGACAAAGAAACCGAGAAATGTTGCACTTTAAAAAATCTTCTATTCAAATGATACTATTATCACCTACCCCTCATCACTGGGTGGTAGAATCATTTTCATTTTCTCCTCAAAGTTATGAATCTCTTTGACTGTCAGCTCAGACTCCCTCTTCCTTCTGGACTCATTTCGGGCTTGAATGGCTTTCAGAGTATGGTTTGGAGGGGGCTTTGGAATGTGCACAGAAGCAGCGCTGAAAATATTTTTTAAAATCTTATCATGTATGCATCATTATTTCTATAATTCATATTTTTTCTTTACTATCCAGTAAAATATATAGAAAGAACATTAATGTCTATAAGAATTCAAATTACAGTTTTCTTCCAAGATTCACATTTGGGAGACATGTTTTATGATCATTTGTGAAACTTGGAAATTTCTGACCATTACTGACAATCTTTTTTATTGCCTATTTCTATTCTTCACAAAGCAATTGTGCCAAATAATTAGAAGTGTTATTCTTCAGCCATAACTGTCACTACTAACAAGCTACAGATGTTTACAGATGTTTTCACTAACACAAAATAGCAGTTTTCAAAAGCCCATCCACACCTGTATTAAAAGAAGAAAATCTACAAGCTTACTCCGAAATACAGACGCAGGGTGGTGTCGTTGTCCCAAAATGAGCAATTTGTAGGCTAGTCTTCATAAATCACTTATTTTAATGATCTTGTGTATGCAACCCAAAGAATAGGCCTATCAGCTTTTAATATAGGGCCTAAATAGAGAAATTCTCTCTTCACTGGACCAAGATTTTTTTTTTTTAACTTTCTTGGTCATTGTCCTTCAAAAGGGTGGTGTCAAGTTTTGCGGGCACATGTAAATTAATAAATGAGTGAGATCTTTTTAAACGCGGACAGACGAACGTGAGCAGGCTATTATATCAAGACTTCACTTTATTCTTTTTAGTTCTCAAAATAAATCTGCGATAAATTATCAAAGTTATCTGTTATCATTGTGGTAACATAATAATAATTACTTACTTGATTTTAGCCACAAGTTCACTTTGCTTCTCCCTCAACCTGCGAGAGCGATCAATGAGAGCATTCCGGTCATTTTGTCGCTGTTGATACAACCTTTCTGCATCTTCAAACCTCTCTTTGAAGGCAGTCTGTTCCATTCGTATCTGATGTTGATGAAATCGCCCCACAAGAGCTTGAAGATTCAGGTCAGTCTGACGAGGCGTTGCATGTTTGAGACGCTATGGAAACAAAACCAAAAAAAAAAAAAAAAAACAATCTGCAATGAGTATTAGATCTGGATACAAAATACTGCAATACAGTGTTTATAAATGGGAAATCTATTGTAAGTTCTGAAGAAAAATTACAAAATAACAAAATTTCTACACAAAATACTAATAAGTCTACATGTATCATAATTTATACACAAGCAATTATAAATAAATTACGAAAAAGAAATGCAAACTGTGCTCGTCTTACTTTTATTTTCGTAACGAATATCATAATTAAATAAAGTTCAAAACGTTTTATAAGGTGGTTTAAATTTTGATGAGATACAAGCATATCTGTTCAAAGTTCGTTAAATTTATTTTGAGGCAAAAATACAGGGTGATCCAAAAAAAAAACTACAACTCTTTAAAATAATATTTTCCTCCACACTGAAGTATCGCATTTCAAATTTGTACACAACATTTGGAAGTCAAAAGGAATTTTTCTGATATTCATTTTAGATAAATCCACAGAATAGTTTTGCTCTACATAGTGCGTAAAAAAAAACAACCCATTTTTAGCTATTTCCCCCATTTTGTAGCATGATGCAATAGTTCGCATTAGGCCTACCACTAAAAATTCCCAACGATTGTGCCATATTGCAAACTACAGTAGTCTAACAGGCCAACAGAAGTTTGCAGATAGTTTTTCTCAAGTTTCCTTTGCCAGCTGAGATCATGGTTAGGATTAGAAATGAGCAGAGAGCTTTTTGTATTGAACGTTTCCTCACCACCAACTCATTTCGTAAGTTTTGCACAAGGTACAGAAACAATGTTAAAGTGCTCCTAAGGCCTTCTTTGATGTCAAGGGTGGAAACGGTCCATCAGTTAGGGCCTGTAGAGAATCAGAACTAAAACTTCCCAGACAAAACAACCACTTCAGGTCAAACGCACGCCGTTCGCACCCCTTTGAACGTCACCAGGGTTCAGAATTCGCCTCTGCAGGTGAGGAGCTCCATAGTTTTACTATGGGGGAGCAAAGAATACACATGCCGTGATACTGCGTCTCCTAAGAGGCGACTAAAGGTGTATAAGTCTGTTCGCCCCATAAGTGCTAGTTTGCGGAGGGCTAACTACCCAACCCAGTAAAAAATGGAAAGTAATAGAAACAAGAACAAAAATGCCTTATTATTTTTCCATCTTGGGAGACGGAGGACCTTCTGTTCAAGCGACTCGCTCAGGATGAGGAAAGGTGGAAAGTGTTTGTTCGTGGCCTATATCCTGATCCTGATCCAGGGTGAAAAAGGCAATGATGATGAGGGTGCAGAATTCAGCAGATGAGCCCAATGAAACGTCTGTGGGTAGACGATGTCTGCAGCAATGACTTTCCTACATCTCAACGGTCTGCATTCTCAAGGCAGATCTTAATCTGCAACTGTACCATTTTTCTGTTCGTGAAGCTATCAGAGGATAGCAATGTGTTCATGTTTCTTCCATCATCTTGAAAAGCCTGAACATTTCCTCTATGACATTTGGTTCCTTGGCAAAGCCCATAATCACCTTTCAGGTTATATCAACTCCACAAATGCTGTCGATTTGGGCAACCTCACCCCCCTATTGTCTCTAGAAACAGCTCCATACAGTTAGATGTGTAGCTTTGAGTACTCATGGTTGAGTGAATTCTTGTGTTTGATCACCACAGAACATTACAAACAACGCGTTAAAATGTGTCAAGTGAAAAAGGAGGACAAATAGACCATTGTTTCTGAGAATTCCAGAATTTAAAAATTATTTTTTTAAACTCTGTAGGAGAAAAGAACTACCAGTATTGTTTAAAGGTTACAGGGATAGAAAGATTAGATTTTAAAAACAAAACGAAAGGAAAAAACATGACTTTCCTTACAAGATCTTTTACTTTGGTGTATTTTGCATTTAGAGGTGGTTTTCATGAAAAGCCATTTCTGTCTTCAAAAATAGGTTTCTTCATTGTGAATTTTAATGTCAAATAAATTCCTGTTGAATGAATTATATCTGTTCTAAATAATAATTACAACATTCTGGTATGTACAAATTTTTTGTGAGATATTTAGAAAAAAAGTTGTACAGTATTTTTTCGATCACCCTTTTTAAATACTTCTTATGGTATAATTACAAACAGATTGATACTGGAAGCAAGAATATTCTTATCTTCTTATTAAAACTATTTTAAGTCCGACCACTTACTTCATGATTCAAAACGTGTTTCTTTAACCTTCATACAGTGGAAACCATATATAACAGGCCCAGTAATAACAGGGATCTGGTAATAACAGGGATTTTTTTAAATCCCCGTTTTTTCCTACTCTTTGTCTCTATCAAAAGTTATCTGCAATAACAGGGCCTCATCGGAGCCCAATCAATTATAGCAGGGCAAAGGCTTGTTAACAATGTGTAAAAAGTAAGAGAGAGAGAGAGAGAGAGAGAGAGAGAGAGAGAGAGAGAGAGAGAGAGAGAGAGAGAGAGAGAGAGAGAGAGAGAGAGAGAGAGAGAGAGTAAAGCAGTGAGGGAGCAAGCCCGCTCAAGCCACGCGACTGCAGCAAGCACATGCAGCGGGTGAAGCAAGAGAGGGCTGCAGTGTGCTGCAGACTTCAATCTAGCCCTAAGCCTAGCTCCACACACGCGTAATGTGTCATGCGCAGGCCTACCACATGGCTAAAACCCCTGTTCATGGGTACTTGTGGCAAGGGAAACTACCCATGAATAAATACAGCTGGATTAGTCCACAAATGCTTACTTCCCTTGCATTTCTGATTTAACAGGGATCGGATATAACAGGACTTGTTCTCTAGTCCCACCATCCCTGTTATATTAGGTTTCCACTGTATATAAGATAACTTTCAATTTTAAAAATCCCCCCAAAAAACAACAATTTCCAATCCAAATACATTCACTTTGTAAAAGGAAATAAAACGTAACCTACATGGCCAAAAATACGCAGGTGTGATAAGTGAAGTCGATATATGAAGACAGAATATATACGTGTAACCTCATGAGCAGACCCTTTTCACATGCAAATTGCAAAAATTTTACAATGATGTCATGTTGTCAAATTCTAGTTGTTTACATAACCACATATTGTAAGGATTACAAATGGTGCTCTAAATTTTCACGTACATAATTTGTAAGCCTACCAAGAAAAACATATTTTAAAAATAAACTAAACAAGTAAATGAAACATCATAAAAAAGCTCAGAGCAATCCAACAAATCAAAAAAAATTTTCAGGGTTGCCAATGTACTTCTTTTAGGACTAAATAAAATATGTGTGCGGTGTCAGCAAACTTTTTAAAGTCTTCACAAAAAGTCACAAACTCCCATTAACACTAGCTATTTAAAAAAGACCAGCAAAGAAAGTTACAAATAAATGAGCACTTGATTTACAGCAACTGGAACTGTGACCTCTTTCATCACTTGTTATAGAAATAAATAGCTACATTAAGGCGAAAAACCTCTATGACTTTAAGATTTTTCAAGCTGTATATCATCGCCATGATTCAACATTGTGGTATGTAAAAATACCCCCTCCCCCTCCCCCCCATGCAAAAAAACATGAAAGTCCAACTGAGTTGAAGAAGCGCATCAATTGATCCTGGTCTCATTCCTCTTCTGTCAAAGGTAAACGATTTAGAAGAATTAAACAATTTCTCTTAATTAACATAAAGTCTTGCCCAGAATAAAACAGTTTTTTGCTTCTCCTGAAAACCTTGTATTTTGAAACACACCAATGATAAATGACGGCTACCATATAATGTGTCAAATGCAATACCACTCTGACAACAGGACAGTAGGCCTACTTTCAACTACAACTTCCCAATTAGCATCCAACTACATCATAATACAGTGCCTTTAAAAGGGACATCCAAAGATGTTTTAAGTCTCCATAGTATAAAGATGTGAAGCAGTAAATCGGAGTGAAAGAGATGAACATTGGCACATTTTCATTTTGATTAAGTAATATAACACAAGAATATAGGTTAAAAACAGACAGTAAAACCAATTACTAGTGCAAGAAAAGAAGCCCAAGCAACTTAATGCCAACTCCCAACATGCACATGCAAAACTTCAGTTCGAAGATCTCAATTCCCTTTAGAGACAGGCCATGGAGTAGTTTTTTTAAAAAGTAGTTTAGGTGGCAATTTTACCAATTGACCACTGGGATGAAAAACAACAACAACAAAAAACAGTAGGCCTAAAATTCTCAGATTCTCAATGTTATAAATAATGAATTATTCAGCTAGAAAATACAAAGCATGCAATTTACCTTATCCTGAGTATTTTCCTGGGCAACGAACAAGGCCAGAGAAAAATTCTATATCATACATAAATGAAGGGTTGTTTTTTTTCTTCAGTTGTTTGTTGCCCACACACAAACGCACACGCACGCACACACGCACACACACACACACACACACACACACACACACACACACACACACACACACACACACACAATCACACACAACACACACAAACACACACACAAACACACACACAAACACACACACAAACACACACACAAACACACACACAAACACACACATACAGCCGCATGCATGCACGCATGCACACACACACACACACACACACACACACACACACACACACACACACAAAACTACTTCTTTCAAATTCATGAAAAAAAGATTTTTGAGAATGATGTTTTACCCCAAATTTGATCCCACTCAACACCAGAGTTTTGCAATTTTTTCTTAGAATCTTTTTTTTTGTCATGAGAGGAATTTTTTTCCATGAAATGGGTGGTCAAATTTTAATTTCTTGATGGCTACATGATACTTGCCACTATTAAAGGTAGAGAAAGACATTATTTAAAAAGTAAGAATTTAATCTCTCAACTCTTTCCGGACATAGTTTTTTGGGGGTCTAGACATAATTAACTTGGGGCTCGATATGGCTGTGCATGTGGTGTACAAAATAACTTCATAGTAGCATAACCATCACTCAAAACGTAACATATGGTATACCAAATTGAAGGAAATTGAATGAGGAATACATCCCAATAAAAAACAAGGATTAATTTTGAACATAAGTATGCATTAGATGGGTTAGAAATGGCGATGGTGATGAGAAAAATACATTTGGACGGAAAAAATTAATTCTCCAAACATGTGAAAGCAAATCAGCATAGCTATCTTATCATATACAGGCCAAGAGCATAATCCATAAATTTCTGAATGCGCAGCTTTTTATTTGAAAGCGATATTAAAATTTTTGTTTGATTTATGATATTTATACTGAGCCCGGTTACATCGTTTTGTTTTGTTGATGCAAGACTACAAGAACTAATTCACACGTTTTTCCCCAAACCCACGCTTTGACAAAGTGAAACTAGATGTTTTCGTTTCCAAAATCCTTTCCGAGTTTTTCAATAGCAATAAAAAGTAATTATAAATGACAGATCGTGTTAAAACGAAACAAAACTGAGGTACCTTATCACAGCCGATGTATCAGCGATACGTCCACAAGGGGTGTGGACTCGCGCCGATATGTCCGGAAAGAGTAAATAAAGAAAACTCTCAAGCATTAGAATGTAACAAAGCAGAAGAAAAAAAACTGTTGAGAAGCCATAAAGTATGTTAATTATTTTTAAAATACCTGTTAAACTATTTCTACTGCTTCTAGAAACAATGTTATTAATTTGATTAGTCAGCAAAGAAGAATTGCATAAATAATGCAATTTGATTGAAATTATGATCATTTTACCTCTTTGTAAATTTCACTCTCTTTCAGTCCAAGCTTAGCTGGGGCAGCCGGTCGAAGGGTTTCCATGGCAACACCAGTTAAGTTAGCCTTCTTTTTGTTGTTCAGAGCGATGTACATCTGATATAAAAGTCTTGTAGCCGTCCCGTGTTTCTCTGTCATAATATCTCGAGCGAGGTTGGTGTCAAACGGGATCCCCAGCAAGTGCAACATGGGCTCAAGCCGAGTGAAATTGTTGAGCTTCGAGTCCGCCGTCCTTGACAAGACAAGAGCAATGAAAGAGGACTTAATTAATTCATTAAAGCAATCCAGAGAGACATCATTTTTTATTCACGTGCATTTGATATATATATATATATATTATAAATTATATATATACATACAAAGAAGGTGGCAAAACTTTGGAGTCAAGGGAAAAATATGTTCATCATTTTGTCCCACATTCTTTCTGCCTAGGAATAATGAGATTTCAAAACTTTCTTTAGCACCAAGGAACATCACACACTGCCTGTTTTTTCTCTCTTTTTTTATTATTGACAAAGACACTAAACTGCTATCTTGTAAAAAGTATGACGGCAGGATTCAGTCATTCAGAATTCACATTGACCCAACTGAGCTGTCCAAAGATAGCCAAATATAGATCTTACTTAATAATTGAGCCTAACGTAACACAATTGACAACTTTATTTCATTTGAGTTTAACAGATAGAATAAACACTTGATATTATTGGAAAGATTATAATGCTACAGTTATAACTTTTAGTTCAATTGTATTTTTGAAATGTAAGAAACAGGCGAAAAGCCAAATCAAACTTCTAAAAACGTTTATTTCTCCTAAACTGCCCGGTATGTCAGAAATAACAAGAAAAACAACTAACTTGCTCTGGGAGAATTGATCAAAGTCATCCTGAAGTTGATACTTGTGTAAAACTTCTCCAATGAGATATCCAGAAGCAAACTCCTTAGCAAATGAGGCTTGATCTGGAAGGAGAAAAAAAGATAAATTTATACCCTTTACCTATGGAAAATGCACTTTTGTTATTATCAAATATAACTACTAGCTTGAATTAAAGCAAAGTAAATCATTTTATGGGTTGAAGTATCAATTGAGCATGCTAAATATTTATATTATATAGGAAGGCATAAGGTCTGGTGTCTCCAGCACATGCTCATTCCAATGGTGTACGAAATTGCCACAAGCACGGTGGAAGCAATGGAGGCAAAGGTCACCAAATTCACTAGGAAGAGGCTTGATGTTCCTCCTAGACTTTCAGATAATAATAATAATAAAAATAAATATCATGTATGCTGCGCATTTCCATTTTCCAAATAGTGCTCAATGCCCATTACGTAAAAAAAGACATCACTTCTTAAAAATAAATCGACATGTGTGTATGTAGAGCACAGTACAGCCGAACATGGCTATGGCGGGACTTTAGTTCCAAAAGAAAAATCCCACTGTAGGCAAGTTCCCACTATAGGAATGCAAAGGGGAATTACCGAAAAATCAGAAACTACACGCTCCCCTCTTCTTTTACTGTCTTTTTTGGCCTAGTCTAGGCCTAGAGCTATGGCACATCACTTTTGGAGTGGCTCATGTAATGCGTCTCTCCGCATTATCTCTTTCTGCCGCCTGCCTCACCTCACTCATCACTGGAATGGCCAATCACAACACCCGCAAAGCTGACTGCCTGTTTGGAGCCCACCTACAGCCCCCCCACCACTCAACCCCCTTCCCCCCCACTAGAGGTCGCTCAATCTCTCCCACTGTATCCAATTTCGGACCTTTCCTTGCCCATAAAACCCTAGCACAATTAATTGGGTTTACATAGACAAAAAAATGGGGATGGTCCCGCTGCAGCGGGTGCCGCTATAGTCATGTTCTACTGTACGCATATTATAAAGTAAGTATATATGTATTATATGAATAAAAATCTCAAGAGAAAAACAGTCTTGCAGTGAGCTTGGCAATGCATTCACAAAAAAATACACAATGCAATAAAAATTCATGAACGGTCACAATAAAGTTGAAACTTGAATAACTAGAAACATTCAGTACAACATTCGTGGTCTATAGATGTTACGCTATACTTCTGACAGGGCAAGCAGGGACTTCCACTTAAGTCAATAGTGGAGAAATACAAAGCTGGCAAGACAAGGCCGCAGGTGGAGCTTGAGAATTCCCAGGATGGGGAAGTCAGGTCAGTTCAATCAACACTGAGGACAGGCAGGCTCAAAGAAGTCATTGGCAATAGCCAGGCTGGAAGACAAGGACTTGGAAGTGAGAAGATGCTGTAGTGGTCTAGGGCATACGGAAATGATAATAAATAGCATTTGTGTAGCGCATGTCCCCACTCAAAAGAAAACTCTATACGCTTTACACTATATTATTACCCTAGCAGACCATAGAACACTCGGAAACATTCTCAGCTTCCAGGGAAGCATACAGTGCAAGCAGCTGGTTAAGCACTCAAACACTTACAAATTGACAAGATAAGTAATGACATACGGTAAAGAACAGCGAGACATGGTGATCCAAGAAATTAAGGGTGCGGAGGACGAGAAAAGATACCAAAAAGCAGTCCAACAGTGGCAGCAGGATAAATGGACAAATGGACCGATGCCCTTCAAAGATCCCTAACCTAGATAGAACGCAGTGTCAGTGTAGCACATGGAACCTCTGAGACTAAGCTTCATTATCAGGGCAACATATGACTTGCTGCCATAGAAAGCTAATCTCGTGAAGTGGGGCAAGGAAGAAGATCCCCGCTGTCCATTGTGACAGGGGAGACAGACAACGGAGCATGTCCCCAGTTCCTGTAAGGTATCCTTTGCTGATGGCAGATACACATGGTGGCACAACAGAGTGCTGAAAGAGCTGGCACTCGCAATCACCAGCAGCCTGGAGACCGACACTGACAACAGAGTAGCTCCAGCCCAGACATTCTTCACAACAGGAAAGAAGAAAAAATGAGTTGAAAGTGCCTTGCCTCTCAAGGAGTGGAAACCTTCTTGGATTAGGCCAGATATCGTTCTCTGGTCAGAGACTGATGCCAAGATCTTCTTCATCGTTGTTTGTTGTGTAGTAAGAGTTTTACGGCGCTCGTAACTGCATAAGGTCATATGAGCACGCGAAACACAAGTTGGTTACATTCACAACAGTTTTAAACATGGTTTCAATTTGGTCAATGATCAGATCAAAATGTGGTTAATGATCAGATTAAAATGGAAAAAAATTTCAAGGTAAAAATCTATTCTAAAAAATTAAAATTGACATAATATTTTTAAAAAGCAGTAGGGTAGGTTTGGGCAAGTTCAACAGGTTTGTGTAGTGCTGCAAAAGTAGCCAATACTGCTCCCGCCTTTATGAAAGAACACACACCATCTTGGTCTAGTTATGTAAAACAGCCATTCTACGTCTCAATTATTATTTTCTTTAAGGGAAGGTTGGGAACATGGGACAACTGCAGTAGTCATAAACAATGCAGTTCCGTTGTGCCATACTTCTATGAATATAAAGCCCATGTGACCGAACAGCCCTCGAATTTGTTCCTGCCCTCGGCTTTTGATTTCTTTTCGAACTGTTGATCTCTAAACTTTTGATGCTGATTTTATTGGATTTGCTGAGAGACAATCTCTTCGTTACATGCAGAAACAGAGAAGTATCAAAAGACATTATTTTCCTTTGTTGTCATTATTTCAACAAGCACGTCCTATTTTCATTTTTACTTTTTGCAAATTGTAAAACTTGCAATCATATGTTGAATTTCATCAGGTTGGGGTTGGGATAGATGGGACAAAAAAAACTTTGTTGTTGGGATGCTTGGGACACAGTGTGATGACAGTTATTTTCCTTGTTCTTACTCAGACTATGATGATACTTTGTCACTGATATTGATTATTTCTTTCTTCAGATCATGCCTCAAAACTACCATTGGAAAACAGAAAGAAAGCAATGCTTGGTGAAGAATATAACAGCTGTAGTCTTTCATATAAAACCCATTTAGCCGAATCCCTCACTTTTGGGAACTACCTCCAGAATAAAAGGGATGATTTCATTTCCAGTCAAGTTTACAGTTTAATTGATAGAATTAGAAATTACTTATCAAAGACAAATTCCGGTTAATTGATAACGCTTGTCAGTATAATTTCAGAATTTGTGGCTCATTGATGGTTTTTCCCCATTTTATGAAGTGCTTCACCCCATTCTATTATGGTTCTAATTAAAGACCACATACTGTCCGTTTATTGACAGACGTAGACAACTTTATTTACTTGTCCCATGTATCCTTTTGTTTTGTCCCATTCATCCCTCATCTGTCCCATTTATCCCAACTTCTGATGATGTACGAAACAGTCGCGATGTAGGAAAACCAACGAGCTTTATTTTCCGCCAATCTGTCCGAAAACATTCCAAGAGGACATACTTTTAGCACAAATTAAAGGTTTATTTAAAACTTCAATCGTTTCTGAGATATATCACTTTGAGTAAAAAATCCAAAATATTGTCCCACGTATCCCAACCTTCCCCTCTCTATTTGCAGTCCGAATTTTCAACCAATCACGATTTTGTGGGATACCCTCGCTCGGAGCAACTTCAATAGGGGTTGGTGCAAATTCCCCCGCCGCATGGGGCAACTTCGACTAAGGCTGTCGGGCAACTTCGACAGGGGACGGATCTTCAACAGTATATTTGTTCTTATTCAACTTATTGTGCTCCCACGACCCCCCTCTCTCTCACAAAACTTTTCTCTGCTGAATTCTCTGTCTATCTCTCTCTCTCTCTCTCTCTATCTCCCTGTCCTTCTCTTTCCTCGCCGCCTCCCCTCCTCATTCTCCAAACCCGTGCACACACGAAGACAAGCACACACGAAGACAAGCACACACACACACACACACACACACACACACACACACACACACACATACATGCACACACGCACACACCCTCACATATACGTGCGCACACACACACACACACACACACATTTATTATAGCTCCTATAACTTGCGACAGTTGAGTAGACATCTATAGTCTAGAATTTCTGCTAGTTTGTATCTGACCAGTCAAGGATTTTGACCTATGATGAAATTGATCATTATACAAACAAGATTAACTGAAATGTGATTGTCTGTTAAAGGTGATTCTGCTTATGAAGCTGGTTTTGGCTTGGCCTTGAAAGAATCTGAGTTAGGTCGAAATTGGCCCACCCCCTGTAGAAGTTGCCCCGTTTTGCCCTGTCGAATTTGCACCAGCCACCTATTAAAATTTCATAGCATTGTTTTACAAAAAATTGTGTCTCTAGACAGTTCACTCTCTCAGTTCTAGAGCTTCCACAACTCTCTCAGTTCTTGTAGGAGAGAACTTTCTCCAAGGTAGGTTATCCATTGATTCCATTTTTCGTGAGAATAGTTAACCTAATTTTGAATACCTAGGCTAGGGGCCTAGGCTAGTATTCGAATATTGTTCCGTCTTATGGTTGAAAATTCTGTTGTTGTTGTTCTTTCACATTAGATTTAAAAATTGTCCAGGAAAGCCTTCAGGCCTCTCCAGAAGAGACATAAGTCATTTTTACACGATTGCTTGTAGGCTATCGGACACACCTCCCTGACACAAATACCTCCTGCAGGGAGATGAGAAACTGTTCTGTGCAGGTTGCGACATTCACCATAATTTAGATTCTACATCTAGATTCAAGATCTAGATCTAGATCTAGATTTATTAGATTAGATCTAATATCTAGATTCTAGATCTAGATATCTAGATCTAGATCTATATTCTAGATATAATATCTAGCGCAGTGGCTATTTTTACGGCGAGCCGTAAAGATAGCCTCCCAGGCTATTTTTACGGCGTGCCGTAAAGATAGCCTCCCAGTGAGTCCCAGGCTATTTTTACGGTGATCCTCGAAAAGCGACCCTACTCCGCCTCTCATGTACGCGATATGCCTCTATGTATTAGATCTAGGCCTATAGGGGCCGTTCAAAATATAAACTTACACCTCAGAGGGGAAAGGGTGTCTTTGGCCTCTGTAAGAAAAGTGTAAGATTGGGTGGGGAGGTTAACCAAATATGACACTTCTGTGAGATGTACGTTTTGCTCATGACTGGGAAGAAAAGGTAAAAGAAAAAGTGGATAAATGCCAGTAACAAGACCCAGATCTGCATGATCACTGCAGATCCCCGTTGGTTTTTTTGCTTTTTGTTGTTGTTGTTTTTTTAGGGGAGGGGGGGAGTACAAATAATTTTGAAATTATGATGAAAATTCTGTAGGTGGACATCTAATTTCTTAATGTTTCTTTACAACTTTGCAACTGTTTTGTTGATCTTTTAATGTCTTGATGTCTTTTATTTGTAAGGCACGTACCTATTGCATTGACAACAGTCTCAATGTCTTCCACATATATGCGTTTCTTTTTAGTCCATATGGTTTGATTAAATTGTATTAACTGAAATGATATTTTTTTTTACAAGTTAGTTAAAAAAAGCCACGTATAGTACAGGTATCTTTAAAATAATAATGGAAATTGAAGATCGGAAAAAGTACTAATATTAAATTGGTGTAGGTGGGGGTTGGAGGCAAATGTGAGAAAAGTGGTATTGGGTTTTGTGTTTTAAAAAGTCCCCAAAAGTGTAAGATTATATTTGAACAGCCCCATAGGTTTTCCATTTCCTCCTCTTCACCGTCATTCTATTCTCTTCTTCATCTTCCTTCTCCCTTCCTCCACCACCACCTCTTCCTTCTTCTCCCCACCATCATCATTAACCCTCTCTTTATCATCACCACCACCATCACCTCCTCGTCACTATCATTACCATCATCACTGCCACTGCCAGCATCATCATCTCATTCACTGACATCACTACATGTACCACACCCACAAGAAGAGCGGCCATTTTGAAGTTAACACTTTTCGCCTTGGGAATGCCTTTAAAATGTTCCTCCTTCCTTATAATTTGCACTGAGCAGATTTTTGATAGAGGTGTAAAAAAAAAATTTTTTGCGTTCACAATTATTAATTTATTAATTATTGTGATGCAATTTCAGGGTACAGGAACACATATATTTTTTTACATTCAAATTTCAAAATTTTGCTCAGTACGATTGACCATAGTATCTGTATCTACCATTCCACCAATTTTCATGCAATTTTGTTAGAGAGTAAGAAGCCTTCGTTTTTTTTAAATTATTGTTTGTTTTGCATGTTGGTGCTGTTTCCATTCCATGGCAACATTCATATTTTCCGACTTATCAAAATTTACTTTGTTCATTATTTCTTATGCCAGCATAATTTTTTTTCCTAAATATGAATCGGAAAAAGAATCACCCTTGGGGTGAGCTGTTCCCCGTAAAAAAAAGGACAGTAATAATATGAGCACATCAGAAAACAAAACACAAAAACTTTAAAAATGCAATCTATTTTATTATTTCAAAGAATCCCACAACAACAAGGTCCTAGTAAAGAACATAAAAACATTGAATTGTTTAAGTCCAGAATAAAGACTATAATTATGATAATACTAATAATAGAGGACATTTGATTATAGTGCCTTACTCTCGGTTTTAACCAGCTCAAAGTATGTTACATTAGTTTAGTCATTTAGTAAAATGTAGTATAAAATAACAAATAAGGTAGTAGCCTACAAGGCCTACAAGCCAAGACGGAATTTATAAGACTGAAAAACGTGTTCTACGTCATCAGTTTGTGACCGCCGTAAAAAGAACATTTCAGTTAATACAATTTAATCAAACCATATGAACTAGAAAGAACGCATATATGTGGAAGACATTGAGACTGTTGTCAATGCAATAGGTACGTGCCTTACAAATAAAAGACATCAAGACATTAAAAGATCAACAAAACAGTTGCAAAGTTACAAAGAAACATTAAGAAATTAGATGTCCACCTACAGAATTTTCATCATAATTTCAAAATTATTTGTAACCCCCCCCCCCCCCCCCCCCCTAAAAAACAAAAAAACAAAAAAAACAACGGGGATCTGCAGTGATCATGCAGATCTGGGTCTTGTTACTGGCATTTATCCACTTTTTCTTTTACCTTTTCTTCCCAGTCATGAGCAAAACGTTCATCTCACCTCCCCACCCAATCTTCCACTTTTCTTACAGAAGCCAAAGACATCTTTTCCCCTCTGAGGTGTAAGTTTATATTTTGAACGGCCCCTATAGGCCTAGATTCCCAGATCTAGATCTAATACATTGAGGCATGTCGCGTACATGAGAGGCGGAGATGGGTCGCTTTTCGAGGATCGCCTTAAAAATAGCCTGGGACTCACTGGGAGGCTGTCTTTATGGCACGCCGTAAAAATAGCATACGGCTCGCCGTAAAAATAGCCACTGCGAATATCTAGATCTACATCTAGATCTAGATCTAGATCTAGAGAGATGAAAACAGGAAAGCATAGGCTATAGTCTGTAGTTAATTACTCACCGATTTGCATCGAAATACGAAGCTCATCATTCAGCCATTTGCATAATATATCTGTCATTTTGTCTGACAACTGCAGACTCTTGTATTTACCAACACTGAAACAAAAAAGTTAATACTCAAAATAAGTTGAACTACTTGTCCGCCATTGCAAAGCTTGCAATTGTTACCATGACCACACCGGAAACAGCCCATGTACTGAAAGCTGCACAAAATGTTAATATACTAGGCAACACTTACTAAATGTCTAATATAGTGTGATCCAGCCATCATTCATTCCAGAAGTACCTATAGTATTGGATGAAGCCTTATTGACAAACGTTTACACTATAAAGTTAAACATTTACGACTAATAAACAAGGGAGATAACTCTTTAAACTTTTCAAAGTGGAGTGAGTTGCTATGCAACCACACACCCTCAGCGAGGTCAACGCTTGACCTGAAAGTGGAGAGGGACAGCATAGGGCTTTTGAGGACATTCGGAATAATGTAAACAGTACGGCCACTTTGTCCTGCTGGAGGTTCTAGTGATCCTTATCAAGCACTCTCGTGAAACACTGAAGAGACTTCCTTGTGTATCTTGATTTTGAAGTGAAGCATCAATCACATAGGCTAGATATCTAGAGCGAAATCATCGAAATGGCCGAAAAGAAATTCGCTGGTGCCCCCTTTGGGACACAGACAGCAAGGTAAAAAAAAGTGCCAAGAAGACTTGATTATATTCATGACAACATGTGATGTAATTCTCATCTCTACAGTGAAGTTGTTTCTACTAGGGTTCTATTATATTTTCTGTTTATTGCCTTCATGAAGAGAGAGATTTTAAGTGAGAAAGTGTTCACCTCATAACACACTCCACAGTACAGGAAGTTTGCATTTAAAGTCGAAAAACAATTTAGACCTATTGTTTTTTTCCGGCAAGTAATGAATTATGGCTTTAATGGCAATATGAGAGAAGCAAAAGTAATTATTTTTTAAATTTTTTACTAAAGCAAAAGCAAAAGCAGGGCAACTGATAGTTCGAGATAAACATGTTGAATTTTATGGTAAATTTTTACTTTCACTCCCGCTCACAGATGCACTGCTTCTGGGGTCAAACTGCAGTACTGTTTGCTACAGATCACACGTAAATCCACTAAAACTGTCGCAAATCAATTATTTTCTAGAAAATTTCAAATCTAACTGTAAAATATTATGG